ATTAAAATGCTCTTACATGTGATAAAAACTGAATAATATAATCTTCATTAATAATACAACCCTTTGAAAGGAGCCATTCCTCATAATGAGTACCTTTTAATTGAATACTTCAGCTACATTTTGCTGATAATACTGTGCCTTTATATTAAGTAACATTAAATTCAGGACTTTTTCTTATAATGGATTATTTTTAGATTTGTTTGAAATTGTCTTTATGAAGACTGTTGATAGTGTGTTCTCCTGATTTTCTGGGGTCATGTGTTTTTTTTTGTATGTGTTTGTTATTTGGGTGAACTGGCACTTACTCTTTAGCCAGTTGAACCTTTTATTATCTACTAACTCATTTATTACAAGTGCCATACGCCACAATTTGGGTGTAGGCTTTAAAGTGCAACACACATACAGGCAGTGCTATAACTTTCTGGTTCTTCAACTGGGATCCAGGGACCCTCTGAGTGGCATGAAGAGATTCCAGTGTGCTCCCCCAGCCACATAAAGAATAGTCTAGACTACAATATAACTTCCCTAGACATATAAAACCTATAGGAATTAGTATTACCGTCATAGGTTTCACTCTTGCATATTATCTCTGCATGCACAGTGTTAGCGGTTAAACATCCGTCCATTTTGTAAACCTCTTATCCCGATCAAGGTCGGGGGTGCATTTGCACCAGTCGTCACAGAACACAGTCTAACCTAATACTTTTGGTAAAATTGAGGTGTGGTTCCTATACTTTGAGCAGTCTTCCTGAAGCAAATGAACACATAAGTCCTCATCTCCTCTCATCATTGTGATTTGTTCAGTTCAAAGTTTTGTGGTGTCTAGCCAGAACTGAGACGCCATAGAGTCCTCTGAGCTCTCATGCAAAGCTACACCGAGTGGAACATACACATGCAACTCGCAGACATATGTTTGCTCTTATATAGACTAAGAACCTTCCCAATAACATATGGAAACCATAGCGGTTTCTGTACTAGTGTCAGCAAGGATATGGTTTAGCCGGAGTGATTTAAACATGTTGACATTACCTACAGTGTTAGGAATTGCTCAAGATCTACTTCATGTGTTGACTATGGCTTTGATTATCACCTACTTCTGTGATATTTACAGTGTGCGTAACAACATTCACCTACATATCTGTTTTTTATTTTTCAGTCTACCAAACATGCACAAACAGGCATCCACGTTCACATAAATGAGTCACTTAAACACCATACGAGCACCCAGACTCGCAGACAAACACACACACACTTGGTGTCCCTTCTCTCCAGCCCCTCAGCCTGATCCTCTGATCCTCTGACTTGATGTTATGTATGAGCATGCTGAATCCTGTCCCATTTTTATCTGCACTAGCACAACCCCCGGGGGCACAAGTTCAGCAATAAAACCCTATACATTAGTGTACTTATGAATTTTGCAAGGTAGAACTTATAAAAGTATGTTGCCTGCTTTGAAGTCACCTGTATGAAGGGAACTGAAGAGCTTAAGTGACTGCAGTTGAGCATATATACAGTTCAGGGTTACACGTTGACCCAACCAAAGCAGCTTCTATGTTTGAATGTGTGTATTATGAAGTGGTCTGGCTGTATATCTAAGCAGTGCCAGGTGTGTGGGTTTTAATTTACAGACTTTGAGTTTGTGAGGGTCATGCCCAGGCAACCTCGTCCCTCTCTGTGTCCGTATATGAGTGCACATGTGCCTCAGAAACTATTAAGAGACAGTCCATCCTAGCTTGACGCGAGTTAAAGTTTGCACCTGGCCCTCTAGTCATAAAACGGTAGTTAACGTAATGGCTTTTAAATGAGCATCCAAATGACCAAGGCTGTAACATTAAACAATGACACATCTCTATAGCAACTCTACTACTATTTTCAATAGCAATCTGTTTGCCTGCCTGCCAGCTTATCTGCCCCCTTTCACCATGGTGTCCCCAGTGGCCTAACTATGACAAAATCTGAAAAAAAATGTCTGGAATTTTTTCACCCCTCGTGCCCCTCAAAACTGCATCTTCCATCAAGTCAAACAAAGCTGTTTATTCCTCCATCCTTTAATCTGATGCCCCACACCGCCTTCTTATCCTAACACTCAAGAATGTGGAAAACATGGTTTCCTCTGTAACTTCAAAGAGAGAAATCTGTGGCATCATAGTTCTGATCATCAAAAGTTCAACTGCAACAATGAAGTGGTCTCCTCTCAAGAATCTTTCATTTTAATAAAGTAGATGCCTTGTAGCCTCGCATTGTTTTTTTTTGTTCTTTTAAACATCTTCTCAAACTGTTCTTAAAAAAATGTTTTTTGCCTGTAGGCTGGTTTCTGCGTGCATCAGTGTTAGGGAAAAAAATCCGCGTTTGACTCATCCATCTCACATTCTCAGACTCCCTGCCCATGGTTTGCGGTGTTTGTTGTTCCCCTCTTTCACCTTGCCTCCTTCCTTTAAAGTGTGGCTATAGTGTCTTTGGGTGAAGTGCCAGTGCAACCTTCATCTGAAATAGCAGGGTGAGTCACTTGGGTGGTCAGGAAAGGCAGACTCACATGGCGAGATGATTTTCCACAAGTCGTTCCAGATTGCTGACTCGTCACGATTAGTAAGTGATATGTATGCTAGGGGTCTTTCAAAAAAGTCGAGCAGTCTGCGCACTCAGTGTTTGTTCTGCCCTCTCACCTAGATGCTGTTTGGTTGTCAGCGTACTGATGCATTTTGCACTCTTTGCACATGATTTTTCTGAATGCATTGTGATTTTGCGTGGGTGTGTATGAGCCCGGGACAGGGGAGAGAGACCTCTATAAGCAGCAAAAACTGTTATTCAACTCCCTCAGAGCACATAATGATGAACTGCAGTCGAGCTAAAAACAAAGCTGTTCCCCAAAGTTGACATTTCAGAGATACAAGGGTTTCACCTGATAGCAACAGTCGCCATGACACCACCGGTATCACTAACTGTTATCATAATCATGGTGACATGGTGGCCATGTGTCCTGAATGTCTTGGCAGTGACTCACATCCACCTGACGTCCTCTCTCTCTCTCTCTCTCAGCTGTGTGTGTTTCTCTTGCTTCCTCTCTCCATCTGGTTATACTCTTATCTCATATGGAGTGTGAAGGGAGAAGGGGAGGGTGGGGGCTGGAGGGGGAGTGGGGGGTGATTATACAGACTGCTACTCCTGTGTCAGGTGTACATGCCAAATGCATGTTTTCTGGTTTATGTACACACTTCTGTAGTCAGTGTGTGTGTGTGCCATGTTTACTTTTAACAAGTTCCCACAATGTTCAAATAAGCCCACAGGAATCAGGAACACAGCCTCGGACACTTGTGTTAGTTGTGTATCAGAAGGTCTGTATCTGCTTGCGAGGTATAAGGTGGAACTCGGGTTGAAAGGTTCTCTTCCTCAGTTACTGGCTGTCACTATCTTTGTCATCTTCTAATAATAACTTCACCTCAAGGTTCACGATCAGCAAAGTGTAACACGCTGACGACTGAATCAGAAGTGTGTCTAAAACCATTTCCATATATCCCATTAGATTTAATTTAAACTAGCATATAAATCTGGTGTCTGCTGTCAATGTATTTGTTTTTTTTATGACTAGGAATAATATTGTTATGCATATTTCACATAGATGCTTTTGTCTATGGGTGCCAACTTGTGTTGCTGTCTCAGTTACCTTGCAGCCTCCCCTGGCTCCTATTTATAACCCTGAGTAAACAAAATGGATACACAGGAGAAGCAATTGGGCCAGGTCCTTTTTTTTCTAAAATAGTGCTCGCCTGCTGTTAGGGCATTGGGTACAGACTCAACGTGATGTGGCGGCGCGTGGGCTTTGACTGCGGGCTGCCCAGCCAAGATGATTTCATTCAGAGTAGGAAACTGTCACTGCGGATGGATAAATATATCCTTTCTGTGTCTGTCTGCAGAGGCAAGTTCTCAGCAGCCTGGTTTCCAGTGCCCAGTGTAACCAGGCTAACCAGAGTTTATGGTAGCCATTATTTAGCGTGTATCAGTCAGTTTTCCAGCATCTGTGGTCTGTTGGCATACACTCGCCATTAAGAATGATTTGTATGCTGGGCTACACTTTCAGTCCAACAGCTAAGCTTTTGATCTTCATTATTAGCATTTTGATTTGAGTTGTTTGGCGTAAATGTCGGCAGTGGAAAAGGAGTAATTGTTTTTGTGTGACAGAATTGCCACGCAGCATTGATTGGGTTGTGTTTAAAATACTTTTTGGTTTTGCTATAATTATTTTCCTGCTGTCCACTCATAAAACCCGATGATTATGTAAGTCCTTAAAGTTCAGTAGAGTAATTGCAGTTAAGCAACACCAAGTGATTTTCCTTGAGAGCCCTACTCATTAGGAAAGTTGAAAATATATTCTCTTTTGTGATAGTGAGACAGTATATCAGTCACCAAAACACATGAATACTACATGAATTCCCTATGAATGAGATTAACAATGTCACAAAGCATACTTTTTTCCGAATAAAGCCAAATAAAAGCCCTTTCTGATCCCATTGTGCTCAACCCTTCATTCAGATAACAGGCCAAGTAAGAGGTTAAATGTATATGTAGTGCAGCCTCCCAGCATATATATTATTACAGTTTATATTAACACAAAATACTTTCACCTTACATGCCAGCTCTCATTATTTTATATATGTTGTATCAGTTAGAGCTGTAATATCAGATTCACACACACCATTTCTCTGAAAAAGCCTCCAGTATGTATGATGTATCATGACTCTGAGAAAACCTTTGAAAGCCAGCTAATATGTGGCAGTTTCATGCAATAATGACAACTTTTCTGCACATATGCCAACTCCTTATGAAATAATTAATGTAATTTTAATTTATGAATTGTTCATTGTTGTTTTTATGTATTTGTTCCTACTTACTGGTCTACATGCCCATTTGTTTTATCCTGCAAAGCCTCACAGATCCTTTTTTTCTCATTAACTATGGCCTCCGGTAATATGAACATGTTGTCCCTCTGTGTTTCTCACTTGCAGACCAAGCTTCCTGTACTGTTGCTGGGCCGCTCATCAGACCTGAGACCAGGAGAGTTTGTGGTGGCTATTGGCAGCCCGTTTTCCCTCCAGAATACAGTCACTACAGGAATTGTTAGTACCACTCAGCGAGGGGGCAGAGAGCTGGGCCTTCGCAACTCCGACATGGACTACATTCAGACGGATGCCATCATCAATGTGAGTGAATGAAGATGCACTATCGTTGTGCATGCACTTTGTTTTTCCCACAAACACAAAAATAATAGGGGATGTATCTTTTTGGTTTATAGTACGGCAACTCCGGAGGGCCTCTGATAAATCTGGTAAGCCTTTTTTTTATTTCCCATTTTTACATTCCCATGACATGTTAAAATCCGTACTACAATTACTACAATTTACAGTTTCTTACCAAACACTAAGCTGAGATTTGCTGTTTTAGGATGGCGAGGTGATTGGGATCAACACGTTGAAAGTGACAGCTGGTATCTCCTTTGCCATACCCTCAGACAAAATTCAACAATTCCTGGCAGAGTCCTACGACAGGCAGTCTAGAGGTATGAGCTCTCACTGACACAACGTATTATGGTTTCATTTTGTTGTGTCTCTTCTGTCACTAAGACAAACTGTAGGGGGCAAATTTTGAAAATTGGCTGCAAGATCCCATGTGCACATAGAGTAAAGGAGCCTATAATTCACCACACCATTTCTGTGGTGGTTGTTTTCCATCTCTGCGTGCTCGCTTAGATATATTACCTACATTTTTAGCTTCATGAAACCATGCCCAGCATTACCCAACAGGATTCTGACATCGCAAATAAACTACAAAGAAGAAAATGCCAGTAAATGTCAGGTTGTTCTTTTAGTTTACTGCTTTTCACCCTTTACCTTGGTAGTATTTTGGAACAGCTCATACATGTATTTTATATGTGACGGCCAACTCGATTTGATTTGTCTGTATGATGAAATAACTAAAAGACAGAACTCCCCAAATTTATGATGAAACACATGGAAGAGTGTGGACGTGCACACTGTCCTGAGGCAATCTGTGATCCACTGTCTGTTCTAAAGTAATATTTCTATCACTCACATACAGAAAAAAAATACCCTGGAGGATTGTTATTTTTTGGAGGTAAACAAACACCCTCATAAAACTAAAAGGCCGGACAGTTGCAGGGGACAGGATGAATGATTGTATTTGAATTGTATTGTTCTCCATCTCTAGGGAGAACAGCTGCTAAGAAGAAGTACATTGGCGTGAGGATGATGACTCTCACTCCAGCGTAAGTTGCGCACTTTCATGTACAACGCTTGTGAAATAGCAACTGAACTGTACTTCATTTTGCTTAGACAAAGGGAAACAATTACATTTCTTGTTTTGTGATTTAAGTCTCTGACCCCTTTCCTACCTCTAGGCTGGCCAAAGAGCTGAAGACTCGACACCGTGACTTCCCTGACATCACCTCTGGAGCTTATGTTATGGAGGTTATTGCAAAGACACCAGCTGCAATGTAAGGGCAATAAGGGTCCAAAAGCGGGGGCTCAGTTCAAACTAACTTGGCTGTAACATCATGGTTTTCAGTGAAGTGCAAATGCAAATGTCCCTGGCTATTTCTCAGCAATGGGATATTGTCTTTGGCACTTTATGCTACACACATGCACTTAATCCGTCACTCAGCTCCTACCCTACTCTTGCAATGCAAATAGACAGTATATTTCATTTCCTTTCTTTATTTTATTTCTCTCCTCCAACTGTCAAGTGTGCACATAGACACACGCTCAAACACACACACACACACACAAAGCCTCCTACACAGCTGTCCTAGTAGAACGTAAATTCATGGCTCACTCCAGCGTGCCTGGAGTGCCTGGCCCTCTAAAATATCCCCCTCCTCCCACAATCGCAGCCCACTCCAATCAGCCACCACCACAACTCCAGCAGAGTGGGGCTCGGGAGACGCTGAGGTCAGCTATTTCCTTCAAACCTCATGCGGGGAGGTTACTAGCTTCACTGTGGTTTTCATGCGCCTGCTCACCCAGCCCACTCAAGAGTACTGTCCCCTACAAGGCCTCGTCAGAGTTTACTCATTGCTCAAATCGCCCTGCTTTTTGCATAATAACATTTCTGTGGTTCCTTTTATATCCCATGTTATTTTCGAGGCTGCACTTTCATGCTTGTGATCTCACTCTGTTTTGTGTTGGTTTATAGCCTTTGGAAATCTTGACCCATGTTGTAGAGAACTGTCCATTTGCTGTTTTGGAGGTGTTAGAGTAGTAGAGTATATTGACAGGGAATACTGTGCGGCAGTTGTGTAAATGGATGCTGTTGCGGGTGAAGGTGTGGTTGTTCTGTGTTTACATGTAGCTGTGATTAAGCAGCTGCTTTGAGAGTCAGCTTTTAATATCACTGCAGGTTACTGCCTTGGTCTGTGTGTGTTTTCAGGTTTACTAGTTTGTTTATTTCATTATGGGTGTTTTTATTTGTTTTGTGCTCTGACCTCCCTGTGCTATCATTCCATCTTAATCGTTCAGTCATTAAAATTCAAAAAGCAGATGTTACATTGATTCAGATTCTGCTCTAGAAACACATGAGGATGACTTGATTTTAACTTTTATTTGTGTGAGTGATGATGAGCCATTACATCTGCAGGCCATTAAATTAACTTGCTGTTTTGATTCTTTCTACTAAAATCTCTATCTAAATAACACCTTATGCGAAGAGAGGAAAACACAATGTCATAAACCCAACACATTTTATCATTAAAGGATCAGGCGATAATGGTGATAATCTATTTTGTAAAACCGACAATGTCAAGCCCATTTGTCCCTACTGAAGACGATTTCCTGCAACAACTTGGCAATGTAGCTTTTAGCAAACGTTACTCAAACAGGAGTAAATAGTACATTTGTTAGGGAATATTTTTAGCGGTGGATTAATACACATTTAGTGCTCTAGTGAATATTTGCAGCACAAGGCAAGTGTGTGTAGGATTGGCTTAAAATAAACTACAGTTCCTATGTTCATCAAAATAAAGGAACATGTCTTCCAATACAATGGTATGAGTCATTGACATGTTTTTAATCGTTTTTTGCAACAGTGAAAGATTAAGAACAGAGGAATAGGAAATGTTGGGCTTTAAAAACACAGATAATATTTGTTGGTGATCATTAATGGTTTTGGTCTTTTCATGGGATTGGCTGACAATAAGAAAGTAGGACCAGACTTATTTTTACATTCTTACATACATACTGATTAAGGTACATACAGCATTAGCCTTTTGTTGTTATTGTGTTGTTTCTGTGGCATTTTTGCATTTATTAGATAGAGTAGTGCTAACATGAAATGAGGGTAGAGAGTAATGGTGGGTCACATGCAACAGCTGGATTTAAACTGGTGGCGCCCTCATCACTGGCCACTGTTAGCTTCCAGTCCCATACACCCTCCTTAGTGGCTAAAACTGTAACAGAATATATTATCACTCGGCTGAGATAATCAGGTCTTGGGTAACAAAAATGTTTTTGCTATTATCCATACTTACCATTCATAAAGCCCTCGATCAGTCATCTCTTCTTCTTCTCTCTTCTTCTTTTCTCCAGCGGTGGACTCAAAGAACATGATGTCATCATCTCAATCAATGGCCAAATGATCTCATCAGCGACTGACGTCAGTGCCGCCATCAAGAAAGAGGGCAACTTGAGAGTAGTTGTCCGCCGTGGAAACGAAGATGCTATCCTCACGGTTGTTCCCATGGAGATCGACCCTTGACCTTCCACAAATCCAGGAGCTGGAGCTATGTTTTACTTATCACCAGTGGACCTTATATTGGACGGGGGCTTCTCCTGATGCACCCTCTCCCTGTGGCCAAAGGCCAGTGACGCCACACACCCAGGGAAATTCTGGCCTTGCCTTGAAAGGAACGACTGTACAGATGCTCTGAAAGCAGTGCTGTACTTCCATGTGTGTTTTCACTTTTAGTCTTTAATGCTTTGATCAATGCTACTACTGTTTGGTCACAAACATAAGTAGTTGGATATTGGCATATTGTTTTTGTCTGCTTTCTCTTGTTTTGTGTCTTTTTAAATATGGACTTTTGCTCAGTCGGGCCTTCCACTGCAATTTTAGGCAATTTAGAGACTCGCGGGGCAAATCTGATTTGTATAATTGTTGTTTTCTAAACTCCATTTTTTAAAGTACTGTAGAATGTTTGTGTTGATTATGTGATGTATACTGAGAAAAAAAATAAAGGGTTTACCTTGTTTTGTTTTGACACTCACCATGCTGGCTTCCTCGTTTTCTCTCCATCTCTCGTTTACTCAATCTCACACACACACACACATGCACACAATGGACTGCACACGAGATGGACTGGACCCAGGCTGACATTACAATATTTTCATTGTATGTTTACAAAGTTTGCTTAACCATTGCTCAAGCACAAGAACTCACACAAAGGGGTTATAAAAACCAATCGGGATCTGGTTTAAATTTGATTTTATTGCGTTCATATGGGCTTGATAGTGGTCTGGTGTGATTGTTGGGCCATGGGCTCTGCAGGCTGACCTCATAGAGACAGGAGAGCGAGCCAAACAGAGATCCGACCCACTATGCAGTGGCCACAGATGTGGGGCTCGCATGAATACACTTAATGTTTTGGTAGAGACTTTTGTTTACCACATAAATTTTGGATGATGATAATGATAATATAGACCTCACGAGAACTACAGAAACCAACACACACACAAGGAGGTATCTGTGCAAAATGTCTTTCACTAAAAGTGAAATCTGCAACAGAAAAAGTGTGCAGAGGTTTTTCTTTATTGTAGCCCAACCACAACTCAAATGAAATGTCCATTATGCTTCATTGTCTACAGCGAGATTAAAACAAACGTCATCAGCTTTATGTTAAAAAGACAGAGAAAGAATTACATCTTGTATTACATTTGAATTTCACACCTCTAATAACCAGGACGTTTATCCTTCACGCTCCTCTTTTCCATTCAACACATGAAAGCTAAATTACACAAAAAAGCTTTCCCCTGATGTTAAGCAGCCCACAGAGATTCATCCTAATCACACATTATTTTAAGCACCTACTGGACATCAAAACATATTTGGACTGTTTTGGTCAAACATTATCACATATTGGGCACCCAGTTGATAGATGTATAGATTCGTGGTCAAAGGCCCTTTTAAACAGAAAAAAACAGAAGTGTGACAGCAAGTGTTGCTGCCATCTAATGGTTCTGTATCAGTGTTGCAGTCTCTTGTCTTACTTTACCCATCTAACTACAAATATTTCAGGCAGATGTTGCAAAAAGTTGAAATTCTATGTTTTCATTTTACTTGGCAAGGGCACCGATTCCTGACTCATTTATTCCGAGACTGCAAAACATTTAGAGAGATTACAGTATACCTAGCATTGGACTCTGGCTCTAAAGTTTGCCTGTTAATGAAGTAACTACTGCCAAAGTGCCAAGACCTGAGCTCAAAACCATCAGTCATCCAGGGCATGGCCATATTACCTCACCACCTCTGAGAATGATGTGAAGTGACAGTCTCTCTGTCAGCCCAAATACATGCAGTTGGCCAGAAATGTGTATTTGATGATAGAAACTGAGTGACTAAGTAACCTTTTGGTCATTTGGTTAATTGTAATCTAAGAAAGGACTCCTCATCTGAAAAACTAAACATGTTAATTGATTTGCCACTTTACTGTTGATACCATGGCAAAGCAAAAAATAAAAATAAAAAAAACATTTCAAATGCTTCCCATGGGATTTGGTATCCCTCTGAGACCAGCCATATCCACAGCGGTTACCCCATGCCCCATCTTCATAAGGACTTCCATACTTTAAAGGAGAAGTTGTGTCTGTGTCTGTCCAGGCTGAGTAATGGTCATTTCAGTGTTGATACAGTTGGGACCACTTTGCCCTGCAGGCTGTTTATGACTCACTATTCATTCATGACACCATCTGTGCCCCAGACCAGTGCCAGGTGATCTTTCTTTCTTTCCAGCATGCTGCAGGTGTTTGGGAATTCAGTCCAGTGAGCACACAACAATAAAACGTGGTTGTATAGAATTACATTACTATTGGTTGTATAACATATACTTGGTTATATTTTATTGACATCACATGTATTAAGCTATATTAAAGGTCCAGTGTATAACATTTGAGCATCTATTGGCAGAAATTGAATCTTACATGCATAACTATGTTTTCATGAATGTATAATCACCTGAAAATAAGAATTGTTGTAATGTTTTCATTACTTTAGAATGAGTTATATCTACAGATGCCACAGATTGTCTTCTACTGAGTCCGCCATGTTGCTACAGTAGCTCAGAATGGACAAACAAAATACTTGATAGGGCCGTTTGCATTTTCACACCTTTTGCAGCCACTGTAGTCTATCCCTCCGCTTTGAAGGTTGAGGGTGAAGTGAGGGAGTTGCAATCTGCAACTACATCTCAGTATATGCCACTAAATTTTACATACTGGTTCGTTAAAGAAGTACACTTTAAATTTGTGTTTTATATGTTCTATTGTGTTTTAACAAGTCGTGTGTATCCCACAACAATAAAAACATTACATAATTTGAGTGAACTGACCCTTTAAACACTAGTATTTAATATTAAGAAATACAACAAATGCATATATATAAATACCTTATTTTTAAAGCTGTGTATTTTAGTTAAAGAATATTTAAAGCATTTTAAACTAAAGGTTAAGTGTAAAGCATAATGGTTACGTCAACCGGAAGCTGCTTAATGTAGGTGTTTTGTTGATATAACTTTAAACAGAGCGAGTGAGCGATGAACGGCAGCAGCAGTCGACTCCATCAGCACTGTTTCTCTCTGGCACGTCTTTCAGTTTGAATCAACTAATGTGATCCTCCAGCGCCCCCTATCGTTTGTTATGGTTTCACCTTTAAACCAATCACAGTCGGGTTTGCTGACTGAGTGTCAAAGCACAGGGAAACCTCCCCGCCGCTGATTGGCCAGTTCCCTTCTTGCGGCGCACTTCTTGGGGGTCTTGCCAGGGAACTCGGAGGGAGGGGATATTGTAATGGCCGTCAGTAGCTCCACAGAATGCAAAAAGTCCGGATTATCCACTATTTTTAGACTATAAGAGCTACGGGTGCGTTTTTGTCGCTTTTCTTCGCTAACGAGCATTGCTCCGGGGGCGTATTCGGGTTGGAGATGTGTTTCAAGTGTTGTTTCTTCTGCGCTTAACGGACTTTACCCGCTTGATTTGTGCGCCAGTGGGAGCTAAGGCCTAGCCGGCTGGCTAAAAAACAACCGGACGTTTAACTGGTTGCTGGAGTTGAAAGGTAACGGTGTGTGATGCTATCCTTTTGTGCTCACGGTGGTATTTAAATCTTAATCTTCGCATTCAAATGTAAACGTTAAAGTACTCGATTGCATTCAAAACGCTCCGAAAATCCTCCACATTTGATGCAGTCGGGTGTGAAATGTAAACAGGGGACTATCGTTAGCACAGTTTAGCAGCGTTGAAGCTAACGGCTAATTGCTAACTTTATAGTAACTTTACAAGCAGGAGCAGGCCGAGCTGGGTTAACAGTGGTGGGTTAACTGTCCTGTCAGCGCTACGTTAGGTACTATAGACATTTCAAGTTTCACTAAAGTTCACCCGGGTCGCTCTAGCTTCATGTCGTATTGCTCATAAACGACCGATAATGTTATTTGAAGGATTTGTTGCTTGAGCTAGCGAGCTAGCCGGGCTAAGTTGGTGTGCTAACAACCCACAGTTGACACAGACTTATGAGCTAACACCGAGTTCATTAATCCAACCTTCCCAGTGTGATTGTTGAGAAACATAGGTCATCTCTTTTGCATGTTCCAGAAACGTGGTGCAATACTGCGGTCTTTTTTTTTATTTTTTTTCTACATTACCTATCAGACATACTTTAGCGGAGCTGTGCGTTTCCTGCTGTTTGTACAATTTACTTGACTCCTGTGTTAAATGTTCAATGTCCCCTGCCTCTATTCACAGGGAATATGTAACATAAAGCAGCCGACATGACATCCAGATTCGGTAAAACATACAACCGCAAGGGAGGGGAGGCTAATTCTAAATTTGAAGAGGTCTTCTCCAATAAGAAGCCCACACTAACAACCAAATGGGGGGAGACCACGTACAAGGCTCAGTTGGGAACCAAAAGGCCCCTTTTAAAGCCAGAAGTTTCTGAGCTTCCCAAGAGGCCCCGGCTTGAGGACAGCGACAGCGAAGAAGACCCATTCGGATTTGACAGTGATGATGAGTCCTGCAAGACCGTGTCCTCTGACAGCGTGTCCCAGTCGAAAGTCACTGATGGGAACGTGAAGAAGGCGACCGCAGTGCAGGGCGGGGGGACGGCCACTGTTGTGACTTCTGCACAGAGCTCTGCAACCTCAACGGCCACATTCACAAGTAAGTAAAACAGTGAGTTTACTGTCTGTAGCAAACCCTCGTTGAATTATTTATCTGTACCTGTTCATTTAATGGATAGTTTCTGAAAGCCATTTTGTTTGAATGTCAGTTTTTTTTTTTTATGTGACCGCCTGTAATTTTCTTCTCCATTCATAGGCAAGCTACCACCCGAAGTGAAGGTTGTTAAGAATAATCAGCCCCGGTTCAAAAGTACATCAGATGGCAACCAAAAACCTGCATTCATGATCTCTTTGTCCAACACAATCCCTTCTGATGATCACAAACTCTCATTGTCCCAGACGTCCATTTCCTCCCCTCTTAATGTAGACACCTTCCTTAAACTGTCCACTGATGTACCAGGTGGTAGCAGAGACTTCCAAACCTCTTCCTCGTATGATGGACTGCCATCCGACGAGATGCAAAGTGTTGAGCAGGAGCCTCCACCAGAACCAGTGGACAACATCCCCCCTTCCCCATTTACTCTAAGGGCCTCAAATTGCAAGAAATACCAGCGCCCTGGCAAGTCTAACAAAATGTCCCCTGAACCTGCTGAAAATAGCAACAAGCTCACAGAAACAGTGAGTGCCCAAGGTAAACCCAACAGTGTCCTTTCTGCTAGTGCAAGTAGTACTGCTGCCAATGCTAAAACAGCAGCCAAGCCTGCAGCCAAGCCTGCAGGCAGGGGTGGTGGGAGGGTACGGGACTACACAGTCCTGCACCCTTCGTGTCTGTCAGTATGCAACGTCACCATCCAGGACTCAATAGAGCGGAGCATTGATGAACTGGTCACCCCAGCTGCTCCTGCCGACCTTGGAGAAGCTGGCCAGATGAAGAAGAAGACA